GCGGGCGGGTCTGGCAGCGGCGAGCATGAGGTGGGGAGGAGGTGCGGCGCGCAGTGCGTGTGGAGCCGTGAACAGGGCCAACTGATCGGAAGCCGATTAATCGATTATTGAAAAAGTTGACAACTTTTTCAATAATCGATTATGTCGATTAGTTGTTGCAGCCCTAGACTCATCGCTCGCACTGCTACAGCCTTATTCGCGTGGTGCTTTTCTATAAAATGTTGCTCTTATTGCAAGACATTTGCTTGTATATCAAGGCAAATTTTTTCAGAAATGTTTGCTTGTCTTGCAAAACACTTTCAAACCAAGTTACTTACCAAGGTATTACTGTACTAAATTGCATATTTTTGTTGACTTGCTAGAATTACAAAAATGCAGACATTGCTTCAGGTCTGTTTTTGTCCCCGCTAAATATTGGTGCACATTGAACTTACAAATGGTCATGATGACATAATGTTACTCAATGACATAATGTTAGAAGCAATTAGGGTTGCACAGATACCAAGTACAGTACTCGGTACAAGTACGAATAGATGTACCGATACTTTTGAGCTCCAAGACTACACTAGAGAAAAATTCAAAAATTAGGAGGCAGCTGTCATTTGTAAGGAGCACATGGAGCTCCTGGCATTTGTACATCTCTGTTTTAATGTACGGTTTTGTTTTTATAAATATAAATAAAGGGATGCACAGATACCAGTTTTGCGAGTACGAGTACTGGTACTTGCCGAGTACTTACAAGTTCGAGTACTGATACATTTTTGTTTATGGTCATGTGACAGTTTTTCTAAAACAATACAGACTAATGATTTCAGGACAGTGGTGGAGTGCCAGAGCCAGGTCCCAGATGCAATTGCTGCAACCCTGGTAGTTCTCATGAAAATGCCAAGTATCTGCACTGGTACTCGAAAAGTATCTGTGCATCCCTAGAAGCAATCTTACATAGGTATTATCCAGTCCGGAGAAAATCATGTATCAGGTCTAGTTCTGTCAATCCAGTTAGGAAATGCAGCAATAATGAACCTTTTTATGTATCCTGTCTTTTTAATGAAAACCATATATTTATGTGTTTTCCTTTCTCCAACCTACAGCTTCAGCATCTGGTTCAGTCTTTACATGTACAGCAACAAAAGCCCCAGCCTTCACTTCTCCAGGCACTAGATGCTGGACTTGTGGTTCAGCTGCAAGCACTCACTGCTCAACTTACAGCTGCTGCTGCCACATCAACCCCCATGACCCCGTTGGAGCAAAGTGTATCCCTCAGCAAGGTATGGTTCATAGATTGCATTTTTAACAGTTAATTTGGGCTAACAATTTATATTGGCTAACAATTTTATATTTGTGAAAATGTGACCTCAATGCGGACCTCTGCCTCCTTTCACTAAAAATCACATCAGCAAGCACCTCTGCATGCTGATATGAAATCATCTTACATTCATTGGTTAACATATTTTGCTTTGACTTACAATGACTTTCTTTCTATTTGCTGTTCCTCATGGGCATTAGTGATCTAATCTTTGCCCAAATGATGCATCCTGTGAAGATTACATCAGCAGAGATGGGAAATCTCATCTGTAATCTCATGAGATCTCAGGGAAAGGCATTTTCCTCCCCTGAGTTGATGTGCACGCTCACATGTCCTAGTTACCATGTTCCAGGAAGTAGTGGTAGGTAGATTAATCTGCCCTAAGTAAAAATGGCCACTGTAAGCAAAATGGGGAGGGAAGGAAGGGTAAGATATATGCAAAGAATAAAAAGCCGGCAATTATCTAGAAGTATCTGTTTGTAGATTGCCATAAGTAAACATTTCTAAAGGTGTGTTTGTTGTAATTTCAAAGATATGGGTACAGTTCCTCTTTAAAGTGAGCCTTTCTGTACCCAGAATGTTAAAGATTGAATTACCTTCCCCCTCATAAGCAGCATATACTTCTCTTTCATGCTGCCCTGCAGCTCCATTCAGCCATCTGAGTTGGAGATTGTAAGTTTCAAATCAATTTATTGGAACTTGCACAGTGTTATGGATTCATTTCTTGGCCTAATGTAACAGTGCTGGGCCATTCATGAGAAAGTCACATGTTCACCCATACTAAATGCCAGGTAGTTCACGCCAGGTCCAACAGCTGAATGGAGTGGCATGGGAGCGCAAAGAAGGTGTGTGTATATGCTGCTGGGCAGTGAAGAGCTAAATTGTTTTTTTTGTTTTTCTTTCTGCCCTGTACTCACAAAGGTAAAATCTCCTTTAAATATAGTAGCTGAACACAGAAATGCCAGGTATTCACTTAAGTTTACAGTTTCATTCCAGCAGAACCTACCATATGTTCACATCTTACACAAACCTACAAGGAACTGATTATTGAAGTGACCCTGTCACCACAGGTTTACAAAAATGACCCTGGCAGCAGGGTACAAAAATGACCCTGGCCGGGAGCTTTCTGGCAGCATGTGTTTAAAAGTGCTGCTCCCCCACCGCACACAATGGTTCTGTATGTCCTTTTTATTGACATTCAAGTCAGCGGGAAAACCAATGTCCGCAGCAGTAGGTGCTCACACAAGTGGTCAGGGAGCATTAAAGCAGCAGTCTGTTAGAAAGGTAAGTACAGTGCCTGTTCTTCTACAGGGCTGGTATTTCTTTGGGGGTATACAAAATCTGTAGCATTCACTGTAGTTGATACTAAAAATTATTAATTGTGTGCATTTTTAACTAGTTCTTTCTGTTCCCAGAAATTAATGGACAGGTTTGATTTTGGGGATGACACTGCCCAGAATGAAGAGCCAAAAAAGGAGGTCTCATCAATGTAAGTATTTGTTCTGCCATTTATTATTGTACTCCTTTTGTACATTGCAGATCATATGATTGTATTATTTTATTTGGTGGTGGCTTCTTGGAACAAAGCTTCTTGGAAAATGTTTTAATGATTGTTTTCAGTATCCTTCTGGATAAATTGGAAGGAATGAAGACCGCACAGTAAAGTGCCTTCCTTTTCCTTATTTGAATGATGCCCCATCTAGTGGTCATAAGTAATACTGCACCAGTTTAAATGTGCATCTGAACAGGTCCAAGATTAATTTTATGTATTTCTCATTTTAATTTACTGCTGATATATTGTTCACATTTTTGTGTACTAGTTCTAGTGACTACTAAGATGGGATCTCTCTCGCGGTGAAGAGATTTATTTGCAATTCTTTTGGCGTATGGAGGAGAGTGGTGTGGGAGTGGGACATAAATGGCAAAAAAAAAACAGCCGTTTTAACCCTTGTCTACTCTATCCAAAATTTTTAAGAAAATGGGTTGGCTCTTGCAACACCTGAACTATGTCTGCATCCAATCAGATTGTTCAGGTATTTTGAGAGCCTAGCGGGGCCGACTAGCAAGATACTGAAGCTTGGCACAGCGGGAGATTCCTCCATCCACACAGTTTGGCGTAGATGGAGGAATCCTCCATCTGCTTTTTCCATCTGACCCTAGAAAATCTGCACATAATCTATAGGTGTATGGCCAGCTTAAGTCACATCAAGGTAAACAGTACAATAACAACTTAATATACGTGCTTTAAAACATATAATGTTCTTTCCCTTTTAATTTGCACTGTGGAACCCACCTGATCGATCTCTCGACATTCACGTTTATTATTATTTAACACAAAGCGATTTAACATTTATATTTTCAGCCCTCTTACATCGGAGTCTGTGAATAATTCCCTTTTCCATCAACTGGCGGAACATTTACAGCAACAAAATCTGGAACATCTCCGCCACCAATTCTTGGAGCAGCAGCAGCAGCAACAACAGCAGCAGCAGCAACAGCATACTTCAAAGGTGACTATAGTGCTGTCCTGTTGTTTTTTACATTGAAAGTATGCACGGTGTGAACTCGCAATCAGTTTTATATTGGACGTTATGTAAAAATGTAGCATGTGCTCTGATTTGGGGGTGCCTTAAATTACTGATGAACAACTGAATCTTAAATAAGTGTTGGGTTTATTTACAAATAGGGCTATACATACATTCTAATTACAATTAAGGTATATTGAGGGGGAATTGGAGGGGGTCAGGATCCTTGAGCTAGCCACACCATTCTCTCTAAAGACATTACCAATTCCTCCAGATGAGATCATTTTAGTTGCAATGAACCAACAAGCCTACTCTTCATATCATATCAACGTTTGCATTGCATTGTTCCGATTGTTCCTGCAGCTCACAATTTCTTTCAGAGAAATTGCACACTGTAGCCCTCAATTCATTCATTTCAACACTGGAGGCAGTTGCAATGTTCATAAGATTATTTCCAATTTTCTCTATCTGCTCCCCAAGTTGAATCCTTTCTGGTCTCCATTGCTCCCCCATTTGCTCAGAAATGTCTGTGATTCTGAGCAATACCGCAATTTCTGTTTTTTACATTATTTTCTAAGTTGTCCACTCTGCAGCTTGTCATTATGTTGCTGACACTGAGACAATAACACATTGACTTGACTCTTAAGAGGTTCATCTGCACATGAATGATACTTGGCAGAGGCATATTTTTTAACATAACTATAGACCAGTTCCATTTCACAAACGTACATTCAACACAAGATACAACTATTAGTATAAAAGCTATTGTACTGCCAATACACACTCACAAGTGAACAAGACAAAGAACCTAACTTTTTAGTGTTCCCACACTGTTCTGTAGAATATTGTAGAATTTTCTGGTGCAGTGTAAAAGAAAAGGATAAGTAACGCTACCCTGATAAGGATTTGTTGCATGCGGTGCGATAAAAGGGCTTTTCTGCACCCAGAAGAGGAAAAAGACATATTGAAGGCAAGTCCTGGCACTACCACCATAACATTTGCTGCTGTTAAGCTTAAACATTTTTTTTCTTCTTTTATCTTCACAGGTTTGTCCTATTTCTGTTATCTGTTCTAAAAAATTGCTAATCATTTGGTTCTTCAATATTCATATTTTTACTGACCTTTCTGGATGTGAGGAAGGAATTCTATATAGTTTAGCTTTGTGGTCTGGCCTCTCTTGCACCTTTTATGTATTGAAAGAAGCCAAATCAAACCCCCAATCATTGACCACTTTGTGAAGCAACATGGAAATTTTCCCGCGCCCCAAATTGTAATTTCAGAAATTGCTTGCAGCAACCTCTGCTAGTGAAATACAGAAAACTAGCTACAGGGACATTCAGAGGGTTATTCACAAAGGGGCCGAAGTATATAGCCGTAGCTTTGGCTAATCCTTCGGCTCACTTCAGCCGCCGGAGCCCTTTACTTCAGCCGAACCGAAGGGCTGCTGTACGGTCACAATAGCTCGGGTGCATTCGGCTTTTCACTGCTGTTCGGCCCCTTTGAGAATAGGGGAGAACAGCAGCGATTGAACTGCCAGGTTTTGGGCTCAGCCGATCCAAATGTTGGATCGGCTGAGTCGAACGGGTTCTTTACTTCGGCTCAGCCGAACATGCTGAGCATGTTTGGCTGAACCGAAGGGAGCTGAAGCCAGCCAATGAAATCAACCATACTTGGCTTCGGCAGCTTAGTGAATAACCACCTATAGCAGTGTTTGCTGCTATATTTTAAAGATTTACCTTAGTGCAATGAGCAAATGTAAATAGCAACACGATTATGATCTTGCTTCTATTTACAAGGGTGCTTAAAGCGACAGTAAACTCAGAAGTAAAATTTTAACTACCTTACCTATTAACAATACTGGACAATGTTTGTGTATCATGAGGAATGTGTATTATGTGCTACAATACGAAGAGGTTCTCAACACCACCAGGCCCTGTACATTGTTACTGTCCCTAGGAATCTTTTCTACACTTTCCTCATTCCTTTTAACATGCAGATAAACTTCTTTTTTCTACACGTGGCCAGCTGATTGTGTAACTGCCTAAAGCAGAAAATATCAATCAAAGTTTCTCCTCCCTCCCCTCTATCCAAAAACGCTGATATTCTGGTGTAAGCAAAAAAGTCATCAAATAGGACATTTTGCTTAAGTCATCTATTAGCTAGAGTAGACTCCTAAAGGCAAGAATTATGCCTTCCTCGCCATAGTTGTATGAAATATTTAAGTTCCTTTGCAGTCAGTCATATTCTATAAGTGTTTTAATTATGTGATCTTAATGATTCTCCAGGTGGCTCTTCAGGAAACCCAGGACATGATGTCTGAATCAGAAAACTCTGCTACACCATCCCAGGATGACAGCCAGCAAGCATTTTTAGAGAAAGATCTGCCACATCATAATTCACAAAATATAGAGGAAGAGGTAGTGTTCAGAGTCTATTGAAACCTTAAGTACCTCCGACCTAGACTGGAGTACTAACCAAACAAGCAAATAGATGATTTTTCACTGTAATTAGGTCTACTAATTTAGAACAAAATTGGTTGTATTTTATTTATTTATATAGTCTTTAAGTTTTGTTAATGTGCTTTTGAGAGAAAGTACCGGTAGTAAATAATATACACATTTATTTACATAGGTTTAAAAAAGACACATGTCCATCGAGTTCAACCTATAAAGATAACAAAACAAAAAAAAAGCCATTTAAATACCATGTTGTAGAAATGCAGTTTCTTAATAGCATAACACTTAAAAGCTTAAGTTATTTTAATAGTAGAGACAATAGGTGTGTCTGGTAAATGCATATATCCTCTGAGTGCTGAATGCTAAGCACCTTGTTACATGCACTACATAGTGATGTTTCCATAATAGTATGGAATTATTGCTCTCAGTGCAACGTTCGCGGCGTAATGGGCACAATCGTCGTTTTCGCACGTATGCGCACCCGACCCATGTTTGCATGCGTGTATGTATGGGGGGACTTGAAAAAAAATTATTATTTTTTACTCCTTTTTTTTTTT